AATTACTATAATCAGTAGCGTGCCGAAGTTAAATATTTGTTGATATCAAATCAAACTTTGTGTATCATTCCACGCAAGTGGACTATATTTGAAAATAACCTTAAGGAGAGGGTAGAGATCCATTTCCTAGTCCTTTCCAATTTTTACCACATTTAATGTTATTCATCAATACTAGAAGTTCATTATTAATTGCTATTGTTAGATTTCTGCCGTTTATAATATAAAGGTGTATTGAAGGAAGAGAGGGGCTAGGATCAGTAACATAGTTATGATGGATAACTATTATTATTTTTATTATTATTATTATTATTACTTTTAATTTTAGTTTCTGAGTGTAGCGAAGAATGTTTTAGTTTTATAAAGATTTTTTTTTTTATATTTGAACACTTTTTCTACTAAAAAGCTTACTCCGATTTATATGGTGTAGACCCTTTTCTGAAAGGTTATTTTCTTCTTGGAGTGATACTTAAGGAGGTCATAATACAATAATTTCAACACCTACCCACTTCTTTTTAACTTGTTACCCAGACTGCACAAATATTTTACTTATCTTCGCTCTTCGGCACGGTACTGATTATTATTATAATATAATATAGAAATTAACGAATATAATATTACGTATTATAATATTATTATTATTGTTTATTAAGTACAATAATACACGCATTATTATGTACGAGGGCTAATCAAAAAGTATCGATACTGATAATATTACTCGGAAACCGAGCGTTGAAAAGCAAAACGATTTGTAAACCTAGTTTTTATGACTTATACTGAGCATATCTATTCGTATAAAATCTCTATAAAATTCTTCGTTTTGATTTGACGATATTTTTCTACAATTTTGTTTTTCACGTTTGGCGATTTCGTAATGAATCCAAAATAAGCGGAACTCGCTGCCAATCGAGGGCACATTTTCAGTTTTTCAATTGACATTTAATGGCAAAAACCATGAAATGTTGCATTCCTCTGAAACTGGAAAAAAATGTAGACAAATTTTCTAAAATCTCTAAATCTGTCAAGTTACTCTTCTTTTGGGTTTATTACAAAATCGCCAAACTCGAAAAATATATTTTACAAAAATATCAGTGAATTCAAACCGAAGAATTTTATAGAGAAGCAATAAAAACAAATGTACTCAGAAAAAGTCATAGAAGCAAATGATACCAATCCTACTGCTCTTCGATGCTCCTTTTCCGAATGATACTACCAGTCTTGATACTTTTTGATTAGCCCTCGTATTCAGCTTTAAAATAATATTATTCTATTATCATAGGCGGAAATATAACCCCTTGAAATATCTCCCATCGAAATGGATCCGAGATTTCTGAGTTGAATCCATCCAAAAACAATATATTATAATATTCTATAAGTCATTAAAACTTCTTGTACAGATTATTAATTCAAGAAAACGATTTTAATAGTTACTTAATACAATATCGAATACAAATTTAAAATAACCCTACTTAAACAAAGAAAAAAGAAAAAAAAGTTCAATGGATTTCCGCCTAGGATTATTATATTTTGTGTGTAAAAACTTAATTTTTTTAAAAAAAAAAATTCATTATTATTTCAATATTAGACATATATACCATACATATATTTTTGTATTGTTTTTATATTTCGTTTTCTTTTTACAGACAACGGTACCTGCACTGCCAACAACAGTTTCGGCTACCACAACAGCGTCTCTGAACAATGGAGAACTTGTCACTCCATCCGTGTCCGTAGCATACTCGCGAACTCCTCAAGGCACTGCTGATGCGTCGGCTGAAGAAAAAATCACACTTTTGGGCACGAATGCAGCAACTGCCTCCAACCCCAAACCGGACGCCGCCGACCCATCATCTTAGAACCGATAGCAATAATATTATAATTAATAATAGATACCACGTGTGTGTTAGGCTGTTTTTTGATAATTGATTTTCATTTTTTTTTATTTGTTTTAGTCCACCATATTATAAAAAAAAAAAACAGCATTTACATAGGATTTCAATTTTCACATATGTTACATAATATAAACACTTATTAGTTATTTATATTATGTTATAGACTCATATAATATTATAGTATTTAAGGTTTTTTCTATATTATTATATAGGTAGTTATACTGTTATTATTTTATGGACAATATGATTTCGTTACATAAACAAAAAAGTAGTTCTAGTCCACTGTTGTTGTATATATAATAATAATAATAATATATTATATTATTATTATGGACTTTGGAAATATCCTGAGTCCAGGTGCCATCTTGTTTTATTAAAATAATAATATTATTGAACCACAAGATATGCTCTCTAATTATTTACTAGTGTTAGACAAATACATTTACTGCCCTAACTGGTTGCACACAAAATACTATAAAATTATAAATATATATATATAGTGACTATAACTACTTCAAGTAGCTTTTTATTGTAATGTAATATTATTTCGCATTCTGTTTTTTTTTTTTTTTTACAATTTATTTTATTATCACTTGAATATCTTATTTATTGTTTGTAAAATCAAGCTTTGTGACGCGGAAATCTGTTTTGTATATATACAAAAGCGAATCTCCAAGGCTTTTCGTGTCCCTTGAATAACCAATTGACGAACCCTCAGAGTGATCTCAGAGTCCTCGTTGTATGAATTACATTACAGTTATATTACAAGATCGGTATTATTCTTTTTTCTTCATCTTCTTAATAAAATCAATAATACGATTATATTTATTGGAAAACCAATCGCTTCAATTAAACCTGACACTTTCCTTGGACTAACAGCATCACTACTATTAAATCGAAAAATATTTTTTATTCTACTTCGTTATTGATTTTTACATAATTTAATTTACTTAAAACTTAATTAGAGTGCGGTTTATAGTTTTTAGAAACGCGCTCAAATTTAAGTTTAAAATGTTAAAATGTTATAGATAATATTTTTATGTGTTCAGAGTGTACTAGTCCTTTTTCCAAGGATAATAATAACAATAATAAAATATTTATGTGTGTGTGTGTGTGTGTGTGTGTGTGTGTGTGTGTGTATGTGTAAGTAAATATATTTATGTTCATCAAAAGAGAATAGATTTGGAAACAAAACAATAATTTATTAAAATGGAAGATATGTTTTAGACCCATATCCAGAGTTTGTGAACATATATATTATATACCATATACAAAATTAATATTATATTATTATCTATTAATAGGTATTATAAATTTAAAATTATTATAATGTTTGTATACTAAATTTATTTGCATAATAATATTTATTCAGTTTTGTGTTATACTGTATACTTTTATAATTTATATTAAGTATATAAGTTTGCTGTTAAAGTTAATAATATTTAAGTATAACTGATAATCAGTAAAATAGGTATAATAGCAATATACATCAAAGTAATAATAGCACAGAAATAGTTATCTAGGTATATTCAACTATGTTGGTATAGGCCATATAATATTATATTGTAATCAAGGACAAACTCATAAAAACAGAACTGTGGTGAAATCAATTTTACCAAATTTTTAACTTACAATAATTTTAATATCAAATTATATCTAGAAACCTTTTGCCTGAACTGAATATTATAACACTAGCTTTCCCTTCTCTGAAACATCTGTGCAATTTCATGTTTCAAAGTGAATATGTTATTTTAAGCATGAAATCTGAGAGAAAGAACTACTGTCCAATAAAATTGTATACATGAATCTTAATTGTATTATATGTTGCATATGCCTAATATAGTTCATCTTAACCAGTATATTATGATATTGTTTAGGAACCAGTTTATAAATTATGTGAACTTGTTTATATTATAATTGTTCAGTATTTTCTCTAAAACAACAAATCATAAATATTGTATAGTTCAATTTTTTTTTTTTAGTTATTATTGGCTAACAAGCATAACAAAATATAATTTAAATGTATTGTTTATATATTTATATACTTTTCTAGACAAGTTTTGCTTTTTTATTTATGTAATTACTAAATACTAAGTTTGACATATTTGTGGGATAAAATTATGAGAAAAAAATGAATCAGATATATAGGTTATTATGTTCGATGTCTATTTTATATATTGTACTGCTGTTGGGTTTAGTTTAGGCCTTATTAGAATAATATCTATTCATAAATATATTTATAATTATTAATTTTAAGATCAAAAAAAATTATACTTAAGTAATAATATTATTACATTTGTAGGATAGCCAAGTTAAAATGTTTATCACAAACTCACTGTAGTTGTATTAGTCTCTTCTAGAACTAATTATAATTATTTAATACTAAATACTATAAAGCTTTTTTTTTTATGTAGTATTATTTTATAAAATGAGTTGTATGGCTGACAGCAAATGAACAAATGTGTAGATAGGAAACAGAAAATAATACCTAGATATCCTTTGTAACTTACTTTTAACTGATATTGTTTTAAAGTTTATTCAATAATTATTTAATACTAGAAATACTGATAAAATAAGCTATTTGTCAGAAATTTAAAGGATTATCATGTTGTAGATATAATAATAATAATAATTGTTTAATGAAATGGATTTATTTTTTTGTTAAATCTCACTTTTGCACTTATGCTATACAGATAGCCCTAACGATATTTTCATGATAGAGTATCTGTTTTTAACATATTATACTATATATATTATTCAGCATTATATAGTTATAATTAGAGCAATCTTAATAATCTGGGTACAGTATTATTGCAATTGTAATAAAAAATAATAATAATAATAATTTTATTGGTAGGCATTAAAGATAAAATACAATCTTTAAAAAAAAAAAAAAATGATTATATTGCAATCTACTCTGTTGTCCAGTATACTCCTATTATGTAATATGTTATACATTTATTATTATAATTATATAGATAAATAGAAAAGTTTACTTTGTGTTTTTAATATTTTCCTTGTATTTATTGTGTGCAGCCCTCAGCCAGATTAGCTAAAATTAATTTATTGTTTTCAATTGTACTCATAAAATGGCATAATTATTTTAACTAAATTCTAGTTATTTTATTATCATTATATTTCCCCATGTAATATATAAATTGCACCCTGGGTAGAAATTCCTCCCCTCCCAAATTACTGAAGGTAGTGCCTACTTTTTTTGTGCAGTGTTCTCCACAGAGTGATTGTCTTGGGATTTTTCAAGCTATCCTGACACAATATTCTATGAAAAACCATTATATTTTATTCGCTTTGAGATACTAAAGGTCATCCATAAAATATTATAGTGTTATACTGATTTTAATTTTATATAGAAATAATTTTGAGGGTATTTAGTGTTTGAGTGTGATGATAGCAATGTGATCAATGAAATAACTATATATCTCTTTTAGATTATGAATGTAACCAAGAATGTACCTATTGGTTTTACTATGATGTTTATTATTATTTGTTTTTTTTTTTTATACTGTGGCAAAAATGTTTACCGGAAATCTTACATTATTAAACAAATATTATCAAAGAAAATATATAATGCTTATTTCAATATTTTACCATAATATGAAATATATATTGTTTACAAAGCATCACTATTAATTGAACTTCGCTCAGAATCGTTTTTTCGTTAGCAATGGCTAATCATTCCTTACAGATATACATTAAATTACTTATAGAAGTGGCTACAACCATCTCCATTATCCTAAGATGTCTTTTTGAAGTTTAGATTCAGTAGGCATAAAATTAATAGTGAACATTTAAATTAATGTAAAAATTGACACAACTAGGTCTAAAATATTAAGGTGGCTGAAGCCCTTCAATAAATTAAGTTAAAATCAATGGGGGCTCAATAAGTACAACTTTTGAATATTACAAACATATCTAACATCCTCGAAAATATAACAAAATGTTCTTATTATATTATTCGAATAATTAATATGATTATTCCATTTTAGTTTATCATCATACTATAATCCTAAATATTTAATGTTCTTACCTTTTCTAAAAAGCTACTAAAAATAACTACTTAATTTTTAAATAATTCAAGATATACGCCAGATACCAAAGATAAATTGTAAATTATCATTAACAAAAACGAAATAGTAGTTTATTCTTTTTTATAAAAAGCTTCTTCCTAAATCGAATAGAAGTTATTAAACCTCTAGTAATCCAGGGCTTAAATTTTTTAAGCTTGCTTCTTCTCTTAAAGTTATTATGAACTGTTGAATTTAAATTAATAATTTTATAATTTTATAGTTTCAAGTAATTTGTCTAAGGCAATATTTGGATTAAGATTAAAAGAATTCTAACTCCCGGTTTATAGTACTGATTAAGTGGATAAGTTCTTAAAGTTTCAGAATCCATGTTACTATCACTACTGTTTATACACATTATAGTACCAAAATAGTAGGTAATATTACATTTTAAAATATAAGCACCGATATTATTTTTATTGACATTATTTAAATAAAAATGATCATTACAAGAACCAGTTTGATAAAAATCAAAGAAATATATTAGAGTAATTTGTCACCACAAATAAAAGTAGTATTTTTGCTTTCATTAATACTCAAATATACTTAAAGAGATTCAATAAAATTAGTTGTATTAGTAAAAGAATGAGATCTATGTAGACTTAAAATTATAAATTTTTAACTAGGCATTATTTTAAATATATTTTTATCTCCATAGAGATAGGTACATTCTTGTAAAAGCATAGTTTTATAGTTAATTATTGTACTTAAATTATTTATACCATCAGCCTTAATAGTAGTAGTATAATAATGAAATACTTTATCATATATATTTATTATTAAATTGAAATTCATATCAAGCCCAGTTTTATAGACTTTAATAATATTAAAATGTTCTATAGAACTGAGTAGAAGTAGTAAATCATGAAGGACCTATGCAATTATCAGAGTTAGAACTTATAATATAGTAAAGTATATGACACGTAATATATGTATGTGTAAAACGTACAGTACAAAACTATTAGTTGCAGGGGCGGAGTGGAAATGGGAATTTTCCAGATAACCTACATCATATTACGGGTAACATAATTCTTACTCGTTTATTTAAAAAGAGCTGATACTGGGGATGGAAGAGGCCACTGTTGTAAGTGAGAAGTTGGAAAGGTAGGATACATAAGGTTATTTCATTTATATCTGTAAGTAACGATAAACCATTGCTTGACGAAAGATGATTATGAGCGTAGTTTGGTAATACATAATTTAAAGTACCGTAATTTTTTCGTGATTTTCGTTTAAATTTGATTTCAAAACTCTTATTAAAAAAAAAAAAAAAAGTCGTCCTATGAATTTTACCACGTCTAGATAAGTCTAATATAAGTATTATTACTAAGTTTTAAGTCTCAACGTGTATTTATAACCGAATAACAGTAAAAAAACTACCAAAAATTAAAATTCCTTTAAAGCTCAAAAGTGGTTCAAAAATTTTGCCGATGATACCGTAAAAAATAAATCAAAAATGAAACAAAGAAGGTTTCTTGAGATTTTTCGATTAAATCATTTTTTCTGGTAGAAAAAGTTGTCCGTGTTTTTATTAAATAATGAAATCGTAAAATTATACGTTTTCCTACGTTTTTTTCCCACTTAAATGAATGTATTTAAAATATGGAATCAAAGATCAAAAAATGACCTTTTTATATTACAATCTAGACAACTTGAGCTTTCAGAAAAGTGCTTTACTTTCATATCGGAGTAAATTTACTAGGAAAAACCATGTCCACAGACTAGAACAAAGAAAAAAATAAAATAAATAGCATTGTAAAACCAATTGCTCTGCTACGCTCGGAATCTAAAATTTACTTAATATTTGTTTGTTTTATTTCGATAAACTGTTCAAATATTATACCATTATTAACGTACCTATCATTTTGAATACAATGTATGTGTAAGCATTGAATACAAAATTTCAAAATATTATTTAACTATAATAAACATTAATTAAAATAAAAACAAAAACAGTGGCACGTGTCGACTAACTACAAATACAAAAATAAAAGGTTTGCAATCAATGATAAACCACTTGAAGAATTGGAAAAAAAAAATTGACTGGGCAATAGGTATTGAAATTTACAAAAATATTGAATAGATACTATTATTAAAATGATATATAAAATATTAATATTAACAGTATTAAAAATTAAAATACTGTCGATGTATTGATCGACTTATCTATCTTTTTTATCTCCATCAAAATCCAATTTATATAAAAAAAGACTAAATTATCTGATTATTTTGTAAAATTAACTCAAAACAGGGTAGTTTATGAAATATAAATTAGTATTATAAAATAATAATATGCTGATGTTCTTTATTCGGTTTTCCCACATTATTAAAAAAAGTAATAAACAAATTACCTTTTTTTTGCACTAACAAGACAAAATGTTCTACTTGAAATAACTCTTGAAGTTGATGCAAAACGAAAACTATCTTAAAGGAATTTATGATTTTGGAATATATAATCACAATAAAATTAGTCCACAACACTCAGTGGTTGAAATTCATTAAGTAAACCATTTATTGTGAATATCACGTTGATTTTAACTGATTTTATTCCTAAGGTTTTTTATTATAACTACAATTAAATTATCTAGTTCAACAAAATAGAGTTTGAAATTATTTTTAACTATGTATTAAAAGCTAAATTTAGTAATGCAGTTATTTAACTAAACTTTTTTTTGTATACACACAATACATTATTATTGAAAATCTAATATTGTGGGCTCAAATTAATATACTGGAATCGAACTTAATGAGAAAATATCATTTGGTACGTATTTTATTAAGTGGCCAGGATACATTTCAATCTCCTGGCCTGCATTTTGTTTCCACTTCGCCTCTGTTTAGTTGTATACCTTTCATATTGTATACAATTTTTTTTTTTTTGGCTGCAACTGAACAGAAATTGTCAATTGAATTTAATCATCACTAAATAGATCTTATATGTTGTATCTTATAATAATTACTCGATATAAATGTTATAATTTGTTATATTGGTTACTAAGTTCATCTTTATTCTATATTAATAACTACACCAATATTAACAATAACAGAAAAGGCAAGATAAAGGTAAAGGTATGAGTGTAGCCACTGGTGTAGATGGGAAATGTGAAGGTAGGATACAGATGGAAAATGTGTATCTGAAAACAACGAAAAACCATTGCTTACAAAAAAAAAACGATTCTGAGTGTAGTTTAGTTAATAGTGATGCTTTGCCAACAATATCTATGTCATATTAGTAAAATAATTAAATAAGCTCTATATATTTTTTTAATATTGTTTAATGTTGTACAGATATCTCCAGTTTTCCTACGTTTTCTCTGTTTTCCCATGTTTTATCCTGGTTTTTAACATTTGCTAGGAAAACTCTTGAGTAAATCGAAAAATTATCTCTCTAAAGTACCTTCCTAGTGAAATTTCCTTTTAGAAACATTGCTATTGATATAAGTTGGGGCATAATTGTTTGTAGAAAAGTGGTGGACAGAAAAAAAGAAAGCCGTAACAGATTTTAACTAATATCTACATTTCTTATATTTTCCCGTTTTTTTTTTTATGGTTTTTCATATTTTATGAAAAAACTCTTGAGGAAATCGAAAAATGACTTCCTTAAAATACCTTCCCACGCTGATTTACTTTCTGAATGGGTGCTACACTTAGAAATCCGAACAAGTCTTCTGAAAAAAAAAAACATCTTTGTAAAACTATAAGTTTCTTCGCTCTACTCAGAATCTAAAATAGAAATTCGATTTGTATTTTGTTTTTAAATTTAAGAAAAAATCACCAAATTGATGTGATTTTATAATTTGTTATATTAATATATCTTTACAGAATAAAATCAAATGTAGCTAATTGGAAAATAGTTATAATAATTATGACAATTTTATTACCTTGTGTTATGATTATTATTCGCTACTTCGTTACTTCGTTAGATTCGGTTTTCACACGTTTTTGTAGAATTTAAAACGACAGTTACTTAGAAACTATTAATCGGATATGAATTCGTGATACATTAAAACTTTTTGAATAATATTTTTTACAAAATGGCTATTTCGAAAATTGCCTGAAGTGAATAAATAAAAAATTATTTAAATTGTTTGGGTTTAAGGGATGGAAATAAAAATTGAATTTTTCTCCAAATCGATGTCCCCCTCGAAGACAAACGGATTGAAAAAACAACAACTAAAAAAAATTAAAACTAATAGCTCTAGAAAAATCTATTTAGAAATTTCCCATTTTTCTAAAGTTTTATTCTGGTTTTTCTTAGATACTATAAAAATCGCTTGGAAAATTAAAAATAACCTCCTAAAAGTACTATCGGCACAACATTTCTTATCAGAAATGGCGCTACGAGTATATATATAAGCAAAATTTTTTATAGAATTTTTGTACACAGGATAAAAAAATAAAAAAAAATAAACATCTTAGAAAAACCAATATATTTCTCACTACATTTAGAAACTAAAAATGAAAAAATAAATAAATAAACATCTTTGTAAAACCAATAAAAATAATAAACTCATATTTAGAAAAACCATTTATTTCCACGCTGCGCGCAGAATCTAGAATGTTTTCGATTATTTTAAAACATTTAGTTTAGGTATTTATATTTATAGTTTAGGTGCTTTTTGTTTAAGTTTTTAATAGATCGGTACTTACAGCTTTATACGGGTATGCGTGGGCTAATCTCTCACAGTGGCCATATTTATAGACTGACTATTCTCTGTTATTCAATTTATACATTTTCGTGGTATTGTACTATTATTTATCTACCTAGGTATTTTATAATAGTATTTATTATAAACTTCTATGGTGATATCATAATGTAAACAACGGTATATAGTTGTTAATAAAAATTATATAAATTTTAAAAACCTATAATGCAATTTTATTAAACATCACAAGCAAAATTACTTATACAGATTACTTATACTAATCACACTAATTACACAATATGAAGACCAACGCATATTATCGAGGTTCCAGTGTCGGAAAATACACGGTGGGTACCGTAGACCAGGCAATCAAAGATAAAAAAATTTTCAGTGAAAAGGCCAAAATGCCTGCTGAAGTACGAAAGGTGTTGTTGGATCACGGATGGATTAGCAAACACCCTCTTGACGGTGGGGCAATAAGTGAGTGCATACTCTCATATTCGATCAAAAATATTAACTTCAAAGAAACAATGTGATAGGTTCGATGTGTATTTAGATAGCTTTCAAGTTTACACTATCTTTAGTGGTTTCAAGAACGTTTTTGATTTGGCTGACTATAATTTCCTCATTTCTACGCATGAATACTTTGGAGTCGGTAACTCTTTCTTGTGTGGTGACATTCTATCTATCATGTAAAATATACTTGTTCCAGTAAATATGGTTTCTAATATGTCCCTAGCAATCTGTGATGTGTCTCAGAGCTCAGAGATGTTTCTGTGTTACCCCAGTGCTCTACTTGGTATCTTTCGTAATATTTATAAATGAGTGTTATTCGGTTAAACGTATTCGTAGGAATCTGAAATATCAATTAAATATTTATATTATACCTTTTCTAAACGTAGATAAATTTTTAAACCATGTTTGAAATATTTATAGATATATTAAATTTTAAAATATGTTTGGTGTTTTTTTATATGCATATATATATTTTGTGTGTGAGCAGCCTAAGATTTGGTTTAAAGCCTTGGTTTAAATTTTAATCTTAAAATTCCAAGAGACCTTTTTTATTGCCTTTCGGATCCAGTTGCTCAGTAAGAAAATTGTTTTTTAATTACTGTGTAGTTTTCTTAATAATTGTTCATAGTAGGAAAGTTTACTCCATTAGTGGTTTTGTTATCTTTTATTTTGATTTTAGTTAAAATTATTTGTAAAAATTTGACATTTTGACAGAAAACGTATATGAAACAATTGTAGTTAAACCAGCGAGCAATTTTTTCGATTTTTTTTTTTTTTTGAACTATAGGTAAATTAACGTTTTAAAAATGATAGCGCAAACGAAAATTTTGGCTGATCAATAGTTTTCACAACAAATGAAAGGAAAAATCTAGGAAAAACAGGAAAATAGGTACAATATTAAACAAATATTTTTTAAGAAAATATATAATACTTATGTAATTATTATATCATAATATGTCATATAGATTGTTGACAAAGCAACACTATCAATCGAACTTCGTTCAGAATAGTTTTTCCGTTAGCAATAGTTAGTCATTTCTTACAGATATATTGGGTAATCAATGTATCGTAAGACACTCGGTATCTCTGAAAGTATTAACTTTTTCCGAAATTTGTTTTTTAGAATATTTAAGAAACATGCTGTTCTACAATTTCATTTTTTATGTTATTTTTTGTCACCCTTATTTTTGTGGATAAAACCACTACCTACTTTTGATTTTCAAATAGCAACCTTTATTAAAAATTCCATAAATAGATATAGTACTATTTAAAATAAATGTAAGTGTTGATATTTTTGTTTTCCGTCAATCCATTGATGAGATATTCCACTTTTAAATTTGGGTTGGAGGAGAATAGTGGTGTATCATTTGTGTGGCGGTACGGTGCGCGGTGTGTTAATAATGCACCATTACTCTCCCCCAACCAAAACAATAACAAAAATATAAAATTATAAAGCAGCTTGTTTCTGAAATGTTCTAGAAAATAAATTCTGGAAAAAGATAATACTTTCAGAAACAATGAGTGTCTCATGATAGAATGATCACCCCGTACATTGAAATAATACCTATTATAGTGGCTGCACCTGTCTCCATCATCCTAGGACCGCTTTTTTTACTTTACTTTATGGCAATGTTTATATACTTTGATCAGCTCCCCTCGAAATAAAATTCTGGATACGCGCCTAAGCAATGGTAAATCGTCATTTACAGTTATAAATTAATCAACTTTATGTGTCCTACCTTTTCCAACTTCCCACCATCAGTGGCACACTCATCAGCATTACAGTGGTAAGGCCAGGAAATTGAAGGCCAACAATTATAACGTAGGGCCAAAAAAAAAAAAACCAATACCGATAGCTCCAATAGGTAAATATTAATATTAATAAACTATTAAATATAGACCATATATAAAACACATTCAATATAATCGATGTGTATTACAAACAAAACTACTTCAACAACCAAATATAGAAATATTTTGAACCTGTATAATAACTATAATAATGAATTCTATCATCGTCACCAATTTAAGTGGACTATCTTATTAGACGCTTAGATGGTATAGCTGAAATTGTTCACATACACCATTAACATAGAAATGTAGGAACAATAAATAGGAACATTTAAGTATGAGAAAATAGTTTTTAAATTATAAATTTGGCATAATATACTTTTAGGAATTCGAAAAAAAATTAAAATACATCTTATTTTTAAAATAATAATGATTAGATGAAAGCAAATTAAATTAAAATAATCAATAACTGAAACTTAAATACACTATTTCATAGAATATTTAATTTTTTAATAAAAATAGAAATTAACAAAAGAATTTAATTGAAAAAGTTTATTTAAATGCATACAAAAATGTTAAGTTAAAATCCAGGCTATGTCGATTAAATTTATATCTTAATAAGAATTAGTTCTGATAATTGAAAAAATTGCAAATAATATAATAAGTCAAACTCGTAAAATCATAGTTTTAAATATAAATTTAGACAAAATGTACCTTTATTAAAACCTTAACCTATTTTATAATAATTAACTCATTTAATTAAAAATAAAAAATAAATGTATATTATAGGTAGGTAATACAGCAATACAATATAATATTCACAATGCCACAATACTTAATAGCGAATCGCAAATGCGCTGCTATCTACAGCACTGCACACTTAACAAGTGAATAATATGAATATATTAAGTTGATAACAAATTACAACAGTACAATGAATCATAATTTTAAAAATAATTGATAATGCGTACAATGTAGCAACTCTATTATTGATATCTTTTTATAGATACACGGTGGATTTACTCAAGTAGCCATATGTGTATATTTATAATATTATAATTATATTATTATGCCTATACAGTGGTAATACCAATAAATTATAAATACAAGTAGGTTCTAGGAGTGTTATTAATTATCATATAATAGACAGTAGTATATTAATCTAAGTTACAAATACCATTATCATCTGCTTACATAAAATGATTATATTATTATGTCAAAGGCCAGGCCAATGGTAAGGCCATTAGTAGAGCCAGGAATTTATAAGGAGAGCCATTGCTCTACCTGGCCCGTCTCTGTTACCGTTACTGTATCTATTTTCTTTTGCATAAAGATCTTATCTTTGAGATGAATCTTAAATCATGTACAATAATGGATGGCGCCACATCTTAATATTTTGATGTACATGTTAGCGATAAGTCACCAGGTGAGTAGTCTTTAGTACGCATGCCTACCAGTGGCTAGTCGCATATTTACCTTAATGCCTTAATATGATGTGATAAATATTAAAAATTATTAATTATAAACATTTGAATGAATTAAAACTTGAATTTATTGAGTTGGTAATATACTGAAATCTATATAAAGCACCTATAATACATTATAGATAAGAACAAAATATATATGTTGATAATTTGAGATAAATATGCGACTAGTTACTGGCGTGCATGCGTACTAAAGGCTACTCACCTGGCGACTTTTGGCTTACATGTACATCATCGATATTATATGTAATCTATAGACTGTGGCTCTATCTATTGTGTATGATCTAAGGGATGAACCGCCACTGACTTAATAACCTATACCTACCTATACCTGCCTATACATGGATTTTAGACAAGGATTCGGTTTTTTCTTTACACAAAAATCACGAACGAGTCAAGACGGTGGTCAAACGATATGACTCTGGACTGATTTGGATGGACAGTCAACGATGCGAAGTCAACTGGTTAACGTTACATCCGTCCATCATTATCAACCGATTTCCTAGGGACGAGAGTGGCCCGCTAAAATTATGCGAGCTAATGCCAGGGAATGCCGCATTCAACAATTACTATCCAAGAGCGTACATGATTACCGCTGTCAATGACATCGTTGAAGATTACTCATTGACCGCCTGTGCGTCATTGGTGCGCGCTTTCATCGACGGATATGAAAATGAAAAAATATTAAACTCACCCAATAATAGTAAAGTAAGTTGAACGATGTGTTATTTGCATAACGAAGGAATGTGTTAGTTTTACTTTGATTTACTAGGTTTTTCTAGATTTAAATCTAACCATTCTGGAGATTTTTGAGTTACATATACATATACAACCTTTAACACTTTCGAGTTTCTTTTAGGTTTTATTTGTTTTAATGTGGACAAAACTGTTAAGATAAACAGAAATACTTGAACATTTAATATGAGGTTCGTTATAAGTTTAATTTAGTAGTCACACAAAAATAAAGTTAGTGTATTTAAGTACCTTATTTTTAAACATTTTAAAATCAAATTTTAACAAAAATCGTAAAAATTAGGGCATTTTAAATATACATAGGCAATCCAACTTCACTGAGAAACGTTTTTCGTTAGCAATAGTTTATCATTGCGTACAGATATAAATTAAGTTACTCTATATATGCCGAGTCTAGAAAATAACGACCAAATTAAAAATGGCAATGGAAAATAATCGTAAATTCAAACATTTAGATTCTGAGTGGAATGAAAAAAGCTTATGGTTTTACAAAGATGTTTATTTTTTTTCTCTGTGCAACTTTTCTATCAAAAATCTTGCTTTAGTTTTTAAACGTAGCACATTTTTTGAAAAGAAATTTGACTGGGGAGATACTATAGCGAGGTAATTTTTTGATTTTTTCCAATAAATGGGAAATCCGGGAAAACCCATTAGAAAACCGTAGGAAAAACGTGAAAATGGGTACAATATTGAACAAATTTTTAATATGTATTATTACTTTACGTTTATATATTATATAAAAGCCAAATACCACTCATTCATTGATCGTTATATCTCAAAAACTATACAACCTACGAATTTGAAATTTGTGATTTGTAATAGAAGTTTCTCTATCATCTAAATGTGCAATAAGAAAATTTAAAAAAATGTGTTTAAATGAATTAATTATTAATAATAATAGTTCATTGCCAATACATATTAACAATCGAGTTATTAATTTTTAAAACAATCAGAAAATACGCACATAAAAGTATATAAAGGTATTATTTATGTATTTTTATGGATTACCATAGTAACACGGATAAAACAAAAATAAATTTAAAGGTTGTTAACATAGACGAATGAAAAGAAAAACGAGTGAAATATAAAATATTACAAATATTTGTGTTGCAAAACCGACCACGGGAAAAGCTTGGTAATAGAGCTAGTATTATATATATATACAGCTATATATTGTTGACAAAGTAACTACACTATCAACTGAACTCCGCTTAGAATCATTTTTTCATTAGCAATGGTTAATCTTTTAGGCCTATTCTGCTGTTTTTCCAATAATTTTAATTACATATCAATATTTTTTTTCCAATCATATTTTCCATTGGCCATTTTAGATATTTCCATATTTTCTTTGCTCATTTCTGTGCATGGCCATAGTTTCCTTTGGCCAGGAAATGAAAATTTACCTGGTCATTATTACTGATTACTAAGGTTCTTTCTGACTTCCCTCTTAATAAGTTAATTATCACTAATTAATTTACGTTAGACATATATAATTATTTAATATTAAAGGTTTTCATGAGTTAAAAATATAAATTAAATTCCCGTCTGTAGCCTACCTTCCCAACTTTCCACCTATAACAGTGGCTGCACCCACGTGCGTAGTATGTCCATTCTTTTTTTTTATTTGTAATCTTAATCTTTATCGCACGAGTGTATCTTCAATCAAGTTTAGTACTTGATAAATATGTCTGGAGCCCCCATACATCAATACACGACATGGCCTACCGGGCAAGCTCTTAAAATAGATATATTTTACATAGTAGGCTGTCAGGCTCGATAAAACGTCGGGCCTGGCTTATACCGGTAGTATCTTTCTTTTTGAATTTATACATTTTTGTATTTCTTTGTGATGTATATAAGAAGAGATAAAGTTAAACAAATTATATAATTAATTCCATATTGTTTTCAGGATATCCAAAAAGCTTTACATTTTGCAATACACAATTGCTACAAGTTAGTAAACAGTACTTACGGTGATCAAACATTTTCGGGCAAAGGACCGGAATGGGAAAGTTTTTTTAAATATTATTACCAAATCACGCACAAAAATCAGAAATTTTTGATTTCAATGGATGTCAAGGATTTAAACTCCATAAAGAAATTTAGCAAACTTTTAATAGCGAAGTTGGAAATCCTGAGACCACAAACGGCTATGGACGGACATTGCAACACTTGGATATTGAAGTCTAATAAACCGTCAATTCTGTTGAATGAGTTTGACGAAATTTTAAAAATGTGTGAAAAAATAAAATCTGAAGGCGCAACTAATAATTGTATCATACAAAAGTTTATCGAGACTCCTTTGCTGTCAAAAAACCTAAAATTTGACTTACAGACATGGATCCTAATTTCGACTCTTGATAACTGTGTGACCATTTGGTTATACCAAATGTGTTGCATGCAATTTGGTTCTAAGAAGTTCAATCTTAACATCGAAAAATCAAAACCTATTCAATATGAAAATTCAAATATACACATACACACGTGTAATTTAAAAAAAATAAAATCCTTATTACGGTCTATGGGGATGATTGAAACCAACGATGTGCCCTTATATATAACATTAAAAAAGAATATCGTGTCGTCCGTGGTGGCCACAGTGGACGTTCTAAATTTAAGACCCAATTCATTTGAGCTATTTCAAGCAACATTTGTATTGGGAAGTGATTTAAAACCTTGGCTGATAAAAATCAGGCCCGACCCTTGTCTGACGACGTCTCTGTACAACTATAAAATGTCCACGTTTATGAGTGGTATAGCGACGAGCCTCGCTAAAATTATAATTAAAAAAAATCTAGCGTGTAAGGCCAACATAGGATTGTTCGATTTGGTACATACGAGTTCGATAACCGATAATCAATATAAACCTCGTATGTTCATCGACAGGCCGATTTACAACCATGGCGTCAAAATTCGATCACAAAAAAAAATACATACATACAAACAATTATCGTTGTGCCAACATCATAACATTGATGATAGTAATATAAAAACATATGTTGAAAGCATTAAAGATGAAGACATTTACATACCGATGCGTACTGACGTATTGAGTGATACATTTACAAAAAAACTCAACATGGAACTAAAACATTGGAAGGACCGTTTAAATTCAGGATCAAAGATTGATGTGCACGTGGCCAAATATTATTTGTCATTATTAGATCAATGGAAAACGAGATTTAGGGCAGCTCAACATTTTTTCAAATCTCCAATACAGTTTCAAAATAACTTAATCAAATCATAACTTGTTTGACCTTTTGGGACTTACATTTAGTAACCCCCAAATTTGTGGTCGGACAAGGTATCTAGAGAACGCCTCACTAGTGATAAACATACTGAGTGCTTCAAGTCTATCGATGTTCTAAATATAAATAACACTTTTTAATTTACCGTTATATTGGCCACTAGGTACAATATACTAATATATTAATATACAAATACTAAAATAATAATCGTTTTATTTTATTTAATGGATTTCCTGGCTCTCTTCGATAACATTATGGTTATAATCTTATCGATATTATTTCCATTCAGATATTATATTATCAGCCTTTCAATAAGATGAAAGATTCCAATACATAGAAATAAATAATTTTAATCATTTTCAGTTTTCAAAAAGAACACGCACGTGAAAGTCGGTGGTTTGTAAAAGTTTGAATAAAAACAACTGATCTAAAATATGCTGAGAAAATAACTGTTATAATTATTTTAAAATTTTAATTAAATAAATACCTAATACTAATTATTTAATAGTTAAATTACAGTAGGTAAAGTCAAATTACCATTTTTGTGTAATATGTCTGCTCAGTGGTGGCGCTGAGGGTGGGCCTAGGTAGGCAATGGCCCGTCTTGAAAACCTTTAGTCCGCTTGTTGATCCACCTGATGGAAATTTTGATTTAATTCGAAAGATTATTAGTAGTTTTTTTTTTTTATTTGAGTAAAGTGGTCAAAACTTAAGTCTAGTAATAACAATTTTTTAAAAACACACGTGTAATGCCAGAGTTCAGTTTTCTTAAATCAAACATAATGCAGCTGTAAGTAGTGAACATATACTATTTTGTGTAAATCATAAAAACGACGGGGATATTATATTATAATTATATTTTTAGACAATTCTAAAATATGATGGTGGTACTAGCTAGGTTTTAGGGAAAACTTCTACTATGTAATATCTTTCACGGAAAATAAAATTATCGGCTAACGTATTCTAGAAAAAAAGGAACTAAAAAAAACCTTTAGTCGATTTACATATAGAAAAAAATATTATAATAGATAGATTATGAGCGTAGTTAGTATTATTAAATATGTACTTGAAATTACCCTTCAACAAGGGTAAAAAATTATACACTTTTATTTTAAATTATTAAAAAACAAAACAGTGTATCCTCAAATTATGATTTCTACATAGATTTACCAGAAATTTTGTTACGATTTTCAATTGTAGAATTATCTCTGAAAGAAAATATGACTGGGGTGGTACTAAAGAGACTTTATTTTTTGATTTTCCCAGCTGTTTTCATGATAAATGAGAAAACCAAGGGAAAGCGTAAGAAAAAACTGTGCAGAAGAGAATATCCGGAAAAATAAAAAAAAATAAAGGAATGATTTGATGGTTTTCAATTTTCCTTATTGTTGCAAACTTAGTTAATTAAGTTAACTAAGTCAATTCTATTTATATGTATTTTAATTTTGCAATTTTGTACGTAATTTTTATTTGGTAGGTACTCTGTGGATAAAATTATTATACTAAATAGAAATAATTGAATATTTAATAGGAAGTTCAATAAAAGTTAACATTGTGGCCAAAAAAATTTGTAATAACAATAATAATAATTTGTAAAAATTTTTAATTTTTAATAACCTATATGAAAAGTCCATAACTAGATGAAGGATCAGTGTCAAATAAAGGTATAATAAAGGTGGAAAAAAAGCGTACGGGCGCATCTGCAGCGAAAGCTAATGTAAAGCATACCATACAGACGACGCGACCATCACAGCGGAGGACTTGGCGGAATTGGTAACCGTATAAATGGTATAATTGTATAATTGGTATATAATTATACAGTTATAATATTATGTAACGTGACCATGATATTAAAAAAGATTAAAAGATATTTATAAAAAAATAAAATAAAACTACACCATCAATTATTTCGTATATCGTACGTACGATCCGAAATTTATAGATTTAAAAATAAATTTTGTATTTTTTCCTGAATGAAACTAGTATCGAATTTATCATTCCCCAGAACTCTTTAAAATATGATTTAAAAATAAATTCGGTATTCAATTGACTCTATAATTTAAGTCATGTATTCATTTCTGAGTTTTATGCTAAGTGATTGTATAATTTTTAGTGTTTTTAAAAAAAAAAAAAAGATTAAGTATACAATGACCAAAATTTATTTCTACATGTTAAACTAAAAGTTTCAATTAATAATAATAGAAAAACTTACTTTAGGATGAGTTCTTGAATCTGAACACCAGTCTGAAACACCTAATTCTTGATCAAACACATAACTGTATGTAGGTTTATATTTTACTTTTCGATTTAATTCAAATATAGGTTCTTTTATATGTGGTAATTTTGTAGTCCATATAACTCCACTATTTTGTGAACATCCACTAAAAATGTACTTGCCATCATGACTAATACTAATTTTCGAGTACATAGAATTTAAGTGGCGACCTGTATACTGATGTATGGGAGCTGAAAAAAATTTGATTAAACATAAATTATAACAAATACCTCTAGTTCATATAATAGATATGTCAAATCAAAATTGTGGCTATCCACTATATACTACGGCTGATGTTACTGAAATTGTGGTATTAGGATACCAGGATGCGNCTGCTGGAGTAAACTATTGTTGTGTTAATATTTTTATTATATTGTCCCAGTCATGTAAAAAGTGACCAAATGAAAAAAACCAGTCTGAAGGTTTTATCCGAACAGTATTTTAACTGAAAAATATACTGTCAAAAATGTATTTAATCAAAGCCACGTACTTAATACAGACAAATACGGTCTGTCCACAAAGATGTATCCCCTGAATATCTCCAATGATAATAAAGATAATTTAATTCAAGAGGTATTTGAGCTCTATAAATCAATTATCGGAGAATGGTGAATTTGTTGGTATGTACTGATATAACAGTTATCTGGTGTGTGTTATTTAGTACTGTGGTATACCATATAATTGGTGTTTAGGCAATCATCATTATACCAATAATAACTGGTATAACCAAAAATCATCAACCCTACCATATACTGATATACACTGTGTGATAAATTTAAGTGGTACACTCATTATGTCAGAAAGTATTACATTTTTCCAGAATTTGTGATCTAGAACATTAAAGCAAGAAGCTACTCCACTTCTTGTCAAGCTTATATTTGGGGATGAAACCACTACCTACTTTTCATTTTCAAATAGCAACCTATATGAAAAGTCCATAACTAGATGAAGGATCAGTTAAAAGAAATTTTAGTGGAGACGTTTTTGATATCCATCAATCCATTGTTGAGATATTCCACTTTTAAGTTTGGGTTGGCAGAGAGTAGTAGAATATCATTTGTGTGGCAGTTAGGTTAGGTTGTTAATAATGCACCACTACTTTTAGCACCAAAAATAACATAAATAAAAAAACTCTAGAGCAACTTATTTCATAAATGTTTGAGAAAACAGATTCGGGGGAAAAATCTAATATTTTCCAAGATAAAGAGTGTACCCACCTTAATGGATCACCTGGTATATGGACATATAATGATTTTTATTTTTCTCATGAATACATGGCTTTTATAATAAATCTAATTGTAAGATATATGTATACAAATGTCTAATATATAAAATTAATTCTATTTCTATTCTATTTCACTGGTTAATCATTACGTCAATGAAAACTATAGTGAAATATATTATTGTTTCACACAATATTATACCTAATATACTAATATACTATACTATAATATACACTTATACAATCAATAATTTTAATAATTTTTAATGCGAATTAAGTTATTGCCAGTACGTATTTTATGACAAGTGTATATTTTGAATATTTATGATGCCTACCATTATTGAAAAAACGAAATAAAAGTTAATTTTATGATACCGAAATCTTGAGTTGTTAGTACTAACAATACATGACAAATAAAAGCTAAGAGGTAATATAGGAAGGAAGATAATATGAAATATAGAAGAAATGTATATACTTCTTTGTGTAGAATTCAATGAAAAACAAAGAATATCACTGCCGTACACACTTGCATATAACAATGAGGATTGTGGATTTAATTGCATGTCAATTAACATTGGATTGCTACAATAATATTTCTTGAGTGGTAATGGTTTAACATTTCTATGAGCACAGCGAAAGGTTTTTCGTAAATCCCATACCTTTATTTCACTATAAAAAAAGAAGTTATTGTAAATGTAATTTACATTATATTTTATTATTGTGCGATATGTATACATACCAATCGTCAGTAGAACAGGTTATAATTGAATTACTATTCAGATATATAACACAGCTTAGTCCCATACCAATAGTACGTGTTTTGCTATAACCTAAAATTTAATAAAACAAAATAAATAGTTGGTTTTAGTATTATGTGTAAACTGAAAAACATGTTAAACAATTTTTTGTTGATTTACTTGCATAATTCAATAAAAATGTATATGTAATATGGCATTCTATATTTACCATGTGTTTTAGGAATATCTTGAACTAATCTATTGAAATTACGAGCATCCCATACTCTCAATTTGCCATCTTGACTCCCACCACAAAATACATCTACATAACATACAGACATGCCAAATCAAATATAGAAAAAAATATAAAATATCTTTATAGTTACAATTATTATACAAATTATATCAATAAACTTATTTTAGCGAATAATGATTTAAATTATATTAATATATACCAGATGATCCTGGACAAAACTTAACACTATTGACTGGAGCTTCAAAGTTAAATATATTTTGTAGTTCAATACTGCCAGATGGCAATAGAGAACTCGGATTCAGTCAAAATGCATACGGTAAAGTATATTTTCAAATACAATATAATACAATTAGTAATATTTATATCATAGTTTGAATGAAAATATTAAATTTTAAGTCCAGTTTTTGAATTTAAAGCGGTACCTGACGATAAAATCAGGATTGTTCTGATATCTTCAAATTATATTTATTTTATTAATTTATTAGAAACGTAAATAGATTTTATCTACTATGATAATAACTTCGTGACACAGTTGTTCGATTCAATAGTGGTTACAATATAATGCTTTCTGATACCAAAAGAAACCAAAACGATGGTATAATAATTTTTGTCAAAAATCATCTAAACGCTGATTTTTATGACTATGACTTTTTAGAGTATAATATTGTAAAATTTTCAACTAAAATAAACAATTTGCTAATAACTGTTATATGTATATATAGTTCACCCTTGTCTGACTGTATAGGTTTCATAAATTCGTTAAAATGTGTTTTTAATAATCTGAATTTAAATTCTGTTATAATTACCTTAATTGGGACATGAATATAAATATAATTGGTGCACAAACATTTTATAATAATGATTATCTAGACCTCATATCGGAGA